GTATGCTGATTTTAAGTCCTTTGAGTATATACAGAGGAGTGAGATAACTGGGTGAAATGGTGGTTCCATTTTTTTTGAGGAATCTCCATAATGCTTTCTATAGCAGTGATTGCACCAATTTGCAGCCCCACCAGCAATGTATTAGTGAACCGTTTCCCCCATATCCTCCCAATATTTATTGTTATTTGATTTCTTGATAAATGCCACTCTGGAGTGAAATGGAATCTCAGTGCAGCTTTAATTTGCATTTCTCTAATTGCTAGAGATGTTGAACGTTTTTTTTCATATATTTCTTCTTCTGTGAAGTGCCTGTTCAGTTCCTTTGCCCATTTATTGATTGGGTTATTTGATTTTTTTGTGTTTTTTGATTTCTTTATATATCCTGGAGATTAATACTCTATCTGGGGTGCAGGTGGCAATGATTTTCTTCCATTCTGTAGGCTTTGTGTTCTTAATTGTTCTTTTGTGGTGAACAAGATTTCCAGTTTGATTCCATCCCATTTATTGATTCTTGATTTTACTTCTTGCGCTTTAGGAGTCTTGTTGAGGAAACTTAGTTCTAAACCGACAAAATTGAGAGTTGGGCCTACATTTTCTTCCAGTAGGTGCAGGGTCTCTGGTCTAATACCTAGGTCTTTGATCCACTTTTGAGTTTTGTGCAGGGTGAGAAGTAGAGGTTAAATTTCATTCTGCTACATATTGATTTCCAGTTTTCTCAGCACCATTTGTTGAAGAGGATATCTTTTCTCCAATGTATGTTTTTGGTGCCTTGTTCTAATATGAGATAACTGTATTTATGTGTCTTCTATTCTGTACCTTTGGCCTTCATGTCTGTTTTGGTGCCAATAACATGCCGTTTTTATTACCATAGCTCTGTAGTATAATTTAAAGTCTGGTATTGTGATGCCTCTTGCTTCACTTTTCTCACTAAGGATCGCTTTGTTCTGGTTCTCTTATTTTTCCAAATGAATTGCTTGACTGCCTTTTCTATTTCTATATAGAATGACATTGAAATTTTAATAGGAATTGCATATTAAATCTTTATAGCACTTTTGGTAGTATGGCCATTTTGGCAATAATAATTCTGCCTATCTATAAGCACAGATTTTTCCATCTTCTAAGGTCTTCTTCAATTTCTTTATTGCTCTATAGTTTTCATTGTAGAGGTCTTTCACCTCTTTTGTTAGATTGAGTCTCACATTGTTGTTATTTTTGAGGCTATTGTGAATGGAATAAATTCCCTAATTTCTCTTTCAGCTGATTCATCATTGGTGTATTGAAACACAATTGATTTATGGTTGTTAATTTTATATCCTGCTACTTTGCTAAATTCTTTTATGAGTTCTAGGAGTTTTCTGGTTGAGGTTTTAGGGTCTTCTAAATATAGAATCATGTCTTTGGCAAACAGGGATAGCTTGAGCTCTTCTTTTCCTATTTGTATTCCTTTAATTTATTTCTTTTGCCTAATTGCTCTGGCTAGAGTTTCTGTGTTAAATAGAAGTGATGAAAGAGGGCATCCTTGTCTTGTTTCAGTTTTTTAGAGAGAATGCTTTTAATTTTTCTCCATTTAGAATGATGTTGGCCTTGGGATTAACATTTAGAGTTCTTACAATGTTGAGGTATGTTCCTACTATCCCTAGTTTTTCTAGTGTGGAGTGAGATGAAATTTCAATGTAGTTTTGATTTGCATTTCCCTAATTACTAGAGATGTTGAACATTTTTTCATGTACTTTTTGACCATTTGTATTTCTTCTTTTGAGAAGTGTTTGTTTAGTTCTTTTGCCCATTTATTGATTGGGTTATTTGTTTTGTTTTTTAGTGTTAAGTTTTTTGAGTTCTTGGTATATTCTGAATATTAATGCCCTATTTGCACCAATTTCATTCTTTTATGCTATCAGTACTTGTGTATATGACTCTGTTTATGGGATTTTGCTATATCCTTTCAAACTATCTGTATTATTACATATTCTATGTCTATGTATGAAGGTCTAAATTTTTCACTTTTCTACAGTAAGGTTTTCATTCCATATGCTTAACAAAGCTACCAGTGACATCCTTGTGGCTAAACCAGTGGTCAGTTTACATTATTCATCCCTCTTGACCTATTAGCAGCATTTGACATTTACCTAATCTCTCACTCTTCCTTGAAACACTTTTTCATTTGGAGTTTAGGAAATCTCAATTTCCTATTTTTCTCCTTCTTGGCTAATCACTGGCATGCCCTGGATTCAGTCCACTAATCTTTTCCCTTCTCTATCTACATTCATTCCCTTTAGGAACTCACCCAATCTCCCGTTTATATATCTTATCTTAAAATATATAATTTACAGATTAGACCTGTACTATCTAATACAGTAGCCAAGAGCACCATGTTTCTATACAAATTAAATTACCTAAAATTAAAGATTCAGGGGTTAAGGGTATAACTCAGTGGTAGAGTACCTGCCTGACACAAGCAATGTCCTGGGTTTGATACCTAGCACTGCAAAAAAAAAAAAGAACCAAAAATCCATTCCTCAGTCACATTAACTACATTTGTGTGTGTGTGTGTGTATGTGTGGTACTGAATATTGAATATGAGAGTGTTCTACCACTGAGTGTACCATAGTAAGCTATGAACACAAGACCTTTTTATTTTGTATTTTGAGACAGAGTTACTCTAAGTTGCCAAGGCTTGCCTCAGACTTGTTATTGTCCTGCCTTAGCCACCAGAGTTGCTGGGATTATAGGCATGGGCCACTGTGCCCAGCACATCAAATACATTTTTAAGAGTTCAAGGGCTATGTGTGGGCTAGTGGGTACAAACTAGAAAGCATATATACAGAACATTTCTTTCTTTTTTTTTTTTTTTAAATCTTTTTTAGTTGTAGATGGACATAATATCTGCATTTTATTTTATTTATTTTTTATGTGGTGCTGAGGATTGAACCCAGTGCCTCACACATGTGAGGCAAGTGCTCTACCACTGAGCTACACCCCCAGCCCTACAGAACATTTCTATCATCACAAAAAGTTATATTATACAGCAATGATCTAGAATTCTTCTCTAATTCTGGATTTATATATCCAATTGCCTTCCTGATGTCTCCAATTTGAATGTCAATAAGCATCTTAGAACCAAATATAAGCATTCTGATATTTCTCCTCCCTAAACTTTCTCCTTCCATTTTTTTCTATTTCAGTTGATGACAACTCCATCCTTCTCACTGTTCAAGCCAAAAAACACAGGGTAACCCTTGACTCCATTTTCATTCCACATCTGACTGATCAGGAAATTCTGTCAGAATTTCACCACTTCTTACCACCTCCAGTTCTACCTTGTTTGAAGCTACTACCACATTTGTTGTAAGTTTCCTAATTGGTCTCTCTGCTCCTGTCCTTACACCAGGTCTATTTTCAACATAAGAGCTAGAGAATTCTCATTAAATCCAAAGTCAGATCATATCAGTCTTCTGTTCAAAATCCTCTAATGGTTTCCCAACTCACTCACAGCAAAAGTCAGCCTCTATAACAGCTACTGGACCCTATGTGATCTGACTCCATGTGCGATCTCATCTCCTAGTAGCTTCCCTTTGCACATTCCTTGGCAGTCACACTGGATATTCCTCAAAGCACCAAGCATATTGAGTCTTCCCCATGATATATAATTTAGAAATCATTAAGTATAAGGATCAATAACTTAGGTTAGCTGGTCCTGTGATGCATGCCTGTAATCCCAACAACTCCGAAGGTTGATATACTAAGATTACAGGTTCAAGGCCAGCCTCAGCAAATCAGCAAGACCCTAAGCAACTTAGTGAGACCCTGTCTCAAAATAAAAAATAAAAATGGCTAGGGATGTGGCTCATTGGCCAAGTGCCCTGGTTCAATTTGCAGTACCATGCCCCCAAATAAAAAACAAAAATAAAAGGGAAAAAAATCCAGTCTATTTGCAGATAAGTAGGTATTCTATCTATAACCATGAGGTCCCTAGCCAGTGAGGAGGGATTAAATGATATGAATTACATAAAGAAAAAGGTCTTCCAAAACTGCAATCCCAATTATTTTACTAAGCCTATATCTTACCAAAAACAAACAAACAAAAAAAAAAAACAGTTAGCTAATTATCTGGTATGGTGGAGCCAAATTATCAGCTGACAATATTTTTAAAAATAAAATTTTAATTACTAAAAAAAAAAAACTGGAAAAATATGGTTTAAGGTTTCCTATTTGGCAATAGTATAAATACATATATAGATTATTATTTGCCAAAATTTTAAAAGACCTCAGTATGATGTATAACTTCCTACTCTCTAAACAAGTCCACTCAATACAACTGGTTTACAAACTTTATTAGAAATAAGCTTGTGAAAAAATACAATTCAATACATTGATTCCTTCATCAAGAAAATTCTGCTATAAAAAACATTTTGGATGAATTAAGTGTACTTACTAATGTAAATGTTTTATATCCTGATTTAAGCTCCTATCTCACTCGAGACTGAACTAATACTTCATAAACTGGCACAGGATCATGAATCATACTTTGAGTAGCACTACCCTAAAGCATCCCCTTTGCCTTTATTTTTTATTTTTTTGTGGTGCTGGGGATTGAGCTAGGACCCTGAATATACTTGGTAAATGTTCCACCACTGACCTATATCTCCAGTCTACCTCCTTCATCTTTAACCCAAGCCTATCCAATATTTTTTTAATACCTTCTACACGCAATGTCAGAGTTTCTGTGTCATCTCCCATTCTGCAATTTATTACACTTTATATGCATCTTGTTTTCTAGATATCACCTATTCTCCTTGCAGAATTTAATGCCGGTTAGAAGCCTATAACATCTAAGAATAGTAACATACTAGTTAAAAAATTAATTAATAGATTCAAAAGTATAATTTTAAAACAGTGTATAATATAGCACTTTGTAAAGGTGCAAATGTGTAACATATCAGCTTTGAAAACTTAGTTTTATTTTGGAAGACATATAAAATCATCCACTCTTCAACACTAACCTAAATATTCCATCAGTTGTTCAGCAGTTATGATTTCCATCATTGGTGGAAGTTTCACCTGAAAAAGAAAGTATTAGTGCTATAAAATCCAATTATTTGGATGACTGAAGTGTTTATTGCAATCAGAAGCAAAAGTATTTATGTGCACATGTGTCTACTATACATATATGTTAACATGCATTTTTATTAGAATATTTATAAAACTAACGAAGTCAATCCTATCACTATGCAATTTACAAGGTGATATAAAAGACATTGAGAAATCTATTTTCAAAGCCAAGTGCTACACCCTTCACCATTCATCATAGTTATTATTAATTAGGTACCTACAACAGTGTCCTGCATGAAAAATTCATCTAAAGGGCAAGAAAAGGTACGAGATCATCTGTGGAACTGTTTTACTGAAATACTGAAGAAGTTCAAGATAAATGCAGTGACTAGGGAGGCTGAGACAAGAGGATCTGAAGCTCAAAGCCAGCCCCAGCAATTTAGCAAGACCCTAAGTAATATAGTGAGAACCTGTTAGGCTTACCTTGAACATTTTTTTAATGGCTAAAATGAATACAGTATTAAAGTACTAGTAATATACTTAAGAATCTATCTGTAATATAATAAATTTTAAAAACTGGCTGGGGTTGTAGCTCAGAGTTAGAGCACTTGCCTAGCATGTGTGAGGAGCTGGGTTTGATTCTCAGCACCATATATAAATTAATGAATAAAATAAAGGTTCATCAACATCTAAAAAACTTTTTAAATAAATAATTAATTAAATATAGGTATGTGTCCTTCTACAACTAAAAATATTTTTAAAAAATCTTCAAAAAAGTAAAGTTCAACAACTGACAAAATTACACTATATTGTTTTGCCACATAAGTGGTAAAACTATAAAGAAAAGTAAGAAAATGGATACTATAAAAATCAGGATTTATAGTTATTCCTGGGGGAAAAGAAGGAGTTATATAGTTGGAGAAAGGAAGAGAGACTTCTGGGGTGCTGGCCATGTTGTTTCTTAACTTGTTATGGTAGTTCCACTGATGTTTTCTTTATAATAACTCATTAATCAATTAATTAATAACTATAATAATTCATGGAATCTGATGTGCTTTTCTGTATTGTTTCATAATAAAAGATTAAAAGGATATACATTTATAATGGTTAAGCTGAACCCCAGAAAATGCAGTCAAGCTAATTCAATAGCACCTGTCTAAAATAATTTTTCAAATAAGTTGTTAGATGCAGTACATGGATATTACACTCAATGATTGTAAATATTTTAACTGACACAAACATTCTGTTATATTCACAGGAGAAAATATATACTACAGGAGGGAAACACCAACAAAATAATTACTATATCAATGATAGGAAGATGAAAGCAAGGCAATCAAAAATTCCTCAGGAATTTTCTACTTAACCAAGGAAATCAGTTACATCAACAATTTCTCCAACAATTCTCTGAGGTGTTCTAGATTTATGTTATCAAATGTATTAATGACATGTCACAATTTTTTTTTGCTTTAATCAATGAGTAAAATAAGTTGTATAAGTGATCCCTATAAAACCAAATGGTGGCCAGATATGGTGGCACACGCCTGTACTCCTAGTGGCTTGGGAGGCTGAGGCAGGGGGTCAGTGAGTTAAAAGCCAGCCTCAACAACGGTGAAATGCTAAATTCAGTGAGACCCTGTCTCTAAATAAAATACAAAATAGGGGTGGGGATGTGGCTCAGTGGTTAAGTGCCCCTGAGTTCAATCTCTGATACCAAGGGGGCGGGGGGAACCTGTCATGAGATCCTCTGAGAGCATATATGACAGATGATACTTATAATTTAGTTATCTACTGGATTTATCACTTAGTGAAATGAAGAGATATCATGAAGGTTGTTTTAAAAAATATTTTTTAGTTGTCAATGGATCTTTATTTTACTTATTTATATGTGGTGCTGAGAATCAAACCCATTTCCCCCCATGTGCTAGGTAAGAAATCTACCACTGAGCTACAACCCTGGCTCCTCATGAAGGTTTTGATCATTATTTCATTCTAAATTTTTTTAAATATTCATTTTTTAATTTTAGGTGAATACAATATCTTTATTTTTATTTTTTTATGTGGTGCTGAGGATCAAACCTAGAGCCTCATGCATGCTAGGCAAATACTTTACCACTGAGCCACAACCGCAACCCCCTAAATTATTTTTACTGATATATTTTTTTTTTAATTAAGATTTTTTTAGCAGATTTTGAGCAGAAAATAGAGACCTCCCATACACAGCATATTTTAAAACTGAAATTCATTGGCAAATTGTAGCCTATTGTTTTTCTAAACAAAGATTTTTCTGAAACATAGTCATTCTTATTTATGTATTCTTTGACTGCTTTTGTACTACAATGTCAGAATTTATCTTCTCTAAGACTGCATGACCCAAAATATTTAGATTTTTAACTGTCATAATATAATACTTAATCAAGATGTTTCAAAATTAAGATTTGATATTTAAGGCTGATGATATGGCTAAGTAGTAGAGTACCTGTTTGGTTGTGCACAGGCCTGAGTTCAATTCCCAGTACTGCAAGGGAAAAAATAAAAATCTGATATTTAAATTAACTAAATTTATATCCTAAAGTGGAACTTTCTGTTTCAGACCAATCAAAAAATTCCATGTACACCTAACAATGCTTCTTAAATAAATTAAGGCCTATCTATTCTCTTTGGGTAATGTAGTCATCCTACTATAAAGCTATCAAAATACAAAACCAAGGGGACTGGGAATCTAGCTCAAAGGTAGAGACTATGCTTAGCAAGTGTGAGGCTTCTGAGTTCAACCCCAGCATCAGGAGGTGGGGTGATTAAGGTAAGGATATTAGAAATATATTCTATAATCCTAGTTATCTGCAAACAGATGTTTTGAGAATTTAGTCTTGAAATTTCCAAATAGCAACTGCTACCCTATCTTGCTTCAAACACAAGAAATGGTAAACAACAACCTGTATACTGATTTTAGAAGTGAGACCAACAAATACACAATTTTAAAATATTTTATTTTATTTTATTGTGGACTGGGGATTGAACTCATGCTAGATAAGCACTCTACCACTGAGTTATACCCCAGCTCCCCTCCTCCACTATTTTTTTTCTAATTTTGAGTCTCACTAAATTTTTCAGGATAGTCTTGAACTTGCAATTCTCCTGCCTCAGCCTCCCAAATAGCTGGGATTATAGTTGTGCACCAACATGCCTAGCCAAATGAATAAATATTTTAACTCACTTCTTTATGAGCATACTCAGTGATAGATCTATTTCCTGAATCATAGCTAATAAAATACTGTATGTTCATTAAAACTATGGAAGAGTATAAAAGTGAAAAAATGTGTACCTCAAACAAATCCCAAATATTATTTTTAACCACAAAATGAAGATCTTCCTAAAAGCTTGCTTTTTTGCTTTCCTCCATCACTACCTCAAAAACAAGTGCAGAAGGTTTTGTCAATGACCTAAAATATACTTGTCTCTAGAATTTATTCAAGAAAAAAACAGGTCATAAAATAGCTGGCTAAAAATACAGAATTAGCAGTTGTGGCAATCTTTCTAAATTTCTAAACTTTAAGTTTTGCAGTGAAATAAATGATGTATGATCTCTTTTAATAGTAACCTACAACATATTTTTTATAAGTAAATAAGTACTCTTATACAAGGGTATCTGGAAGCCACTCTCATAGTTTAAATATTCTTCCTAAAATATGAACAAATCCTCTCAGCACATATTAACACATAGTTCCAAATTAATAAAGCCAAAATAAAGTGAGGTTTAAATGTAATATGAAAATAGATAATGTCCTGTCCTATGAATAAGATTTCATTATATTAACTAGATTTCCTGAGAAATTGTTAATATCAGAATAAAAATTTATCAACCATTAGAAGAAAACAGCTACTGCAACTCCAAATGTTCCACTAAGGTAAAACCTTACTGATGAGCCCAATTATTCTGTAATTCTTAAAGAGTGAAGTATATTTGAGGATAGACTCAAATGAAGCCAAAAAAATAGACAAGAGGGATTGGTGCTGTAGCTCCGTGTCATAGAACTCACCTATCAATACCTAAGGCCCTGGGTTCAATCCTCAGCACCACATAAAATTAAATAAATAAATAAAAACAACAAAATCTTCTGTTGTTAATTAAATCTTGATCAGAATCTTATAATGTCCAAAAATTATATGCCAAGATTTTGATACCTACAATTTTCATATTCTGAGTGGGGAGGCAAATGCATGGGAGTCAGCAATAACTAAGAAATAAGGAGTTTAAATAACTTATGGCAAGAATTTAGTCTTGAAATTTCCAAATAGCAAAAGTGACCAGCAATAGATTATTATTAAATATTTAATTAGAATATCAATTAATAAAACAGAAAAACATTCAATGAAATTTTAGGTAAAATATCAGGAAGGTTGGGGGTGCAGCTCAGTGGTACAGTGCTTGCTTCACTCCCCAGCACCACACACAAAACAAAAACAACAACAAAACAACAACAACAAAAAAAACCCACTGAAATGTTTTACTTGTTTGCACTGGGGATTAAACCAAGAGTATCACATATGCAAGACAAGCACTTTGCCACTGAGCTACATAACCTGTCCATTAAAAAAAAAAAAATGTACTGACAGCCAAGCATGGTGGTATACAACTATAATCCCAGCAATTGGGGAGGCCAAGGCAGAAGAATAGCAATTCAAAGTATAGCAATTCAAATAGCAACTAAGCAAGATCCTAAGAAACTTAGACCCTATTTCAAAATAAAAAGAGCTAGGAATATGGTTCAATGGTTAAGGTCTCCTGGATTCAATCCCTAGTACCAAAACAAACAAACAAACAGTATATTTTATTTGAGACAGGGTCTCGATCAATTTTTTAGGGTGGCCTCAAACTTGCTCTCCTCCTACCTCAACCTCTTACAGTCACTGGGAGTATAAGTGTGTGTCACCATGCTGGCTTGAGACATATTTTACATCAAAAATTGACAAAGTTGGGCTGGGGTTGTAGCTCAGTAGTAGAGCGC